TCTGCGATCCGGTGACCTTCCTGTGGTCCGTTTACTCTCTCTTGGAATCAAGTTTGATGTTTTTGTTCCGTGGTCCAGCGATTTTCGGTCCTTGGCGAAACGTATCCTGCCTATTGGCACTTAAGATTTTTTACTGGGGTAGTGACATTACAGATTTATTTTAGACCTAATCCATTCGATCGTTTTTCCCTCTTTTCTTGTTATTCGCATTTACGTTGCTGTCCATACTGCAGTGCTTAGTCGGCAGTTTATGAACAACTTTGAGGCATAAAGTCCACAGTTCGCACCCATAAGTGTTGGCACTCGGATGATATACCAAATAGGAATATTTTCACTCATGCGAAAGTGCTCCATGAAATGTTTATGTATTTGATATCCCACGGTCGGTTCGCTGTTGCTGAGATGAGTTGTCCTATAAAAGAATATAATCTATATGTAATAAATATAGTCTTATAGTTGAGATGGCATATATTATATGTAGGGTAGTTTAATCTCAGTGTGTCTGTTAGCTCTGCATACGTAGCAAACACGAGACATATATACAGTTTCTTAGTCATGGAGGAAACGCTCGAATAAACTTGGAGGCCGACGATGAACAGACCGATTGAACGAATGGTTTCTGTGCTAAGACAGACTTTTTCCATCAAGTTCCATCCTACTACCTATGGTGGCATCATCGGCGTCAAAAACGAATTAAAATCTTGCATTCATTACTCATTTGAGTGAACTGTTCTCAGTGAGGAATATGTGATCATCGACATGCTCAAGCAACCGGAAAATAGTAGTCCATTCAACTCATTCAGAGAATACCGCTATTTACTTCCACGTACATGATATCTAGCCCTTTCTCTAGTTATAATCAAACCATCAGTTGCTTTTGCAAAATTAGAAATGATGGAGTGATTGATAGCTTTTGCAGCGATAGGGGTCACCTTGCTTCTAAATGCCTAGAGGATCACTTTTGCTTACCTCTTTCTGCCGTGCATTAGTTTATTGCTTAAACTGTTTTCGGTCTCCGTTACAATTTCATGATTGTGGATTACTTTGCCACCCTTCATTTCATGAAGCTTATGGTGTTATGTTGGTCTCTGTTTCTACACCATCAGCCAGGAGTGCCTAATTTTACTGACATACTCAACAGCAGTTATGTTGCAAGCATACTATGTAATTCGCTCTTTCTTTTCCACAGTGATACTCATCACCTCAAACGGAAGAAAGGCGAGTAATTTGAGTGGAGCTCGAACCCGGGACTCGTTGGTTCTGAATTCGACACTATGCCGACTGAGTAATGCTGACTTCTTAGCTAAAGCAGCAGCTTACTTTTCACTGATTTTCCATGGGCCAACCTTTTTATACGCTTTTTCAAAACTATCAAAAATGTGATTTGATTCTCAGAAGTCTGTTAATAAGCACCTAATCCCACTAAACAGAGTTTCTACGCGTTAGGGCACCTTTCTTTTGGTTTTTGTTTTATCAGGGATTACCATATTAACAATTAACGGGGAAGCCCACATTTTCATTCTTCTGCCAGTTGATGCCACAAGCTTCTATAGGTGTTTCAGTTCATGTCTCTTTTGGGCTGTCTTTCAATGCGCGATTGCAGTCTCTTGGATACCAATCCGTCAATGATGAACTCCATTAGTCATACTCCAGTTGCACCATGTAGTTCGAATCGAACTGCACGCAGCGGACCGGGGCCATTTTTGTGCTGTTCGTTTCTTTCGATCTGGAAAATGGTTTTCGCTACTGTCTACGTTTATCTGTAGTACTGGACAGAACGTCTGTTTGCCGTTCATTCTGTCCGAATGGAGTTCCTGGGGACGGTTCTGTGAGGATTGACCCGCTCAGAGTTTTCCCACGCATAGTCAGTTCTTATCCTGTGACTTCTCCGCGCCACGGAACAATGCCTCATTTCGATGAGGTATTAGTTATAACCAGTCATATTATCACCATCCTGGTTTCCGGTAGCCATATCCGTATCAAGAGATTTGTCTTAATGGCATTGAGAGATTTTATTCCTTGCTCGTAAACTGCGAGTTTTGCAGGATCAAGGACTATGGTTATCGTATTTTGTCATGACATGCAATTCACTGTTTACTCAGATCGCCTGCACCATTGCCACTTGGATTTCGAAGTATAGTGACTCGGCTTAGGACCGAAGAATACCTTTCTGAGAAGCAGTTATATGCTGTTCTTATGCGAATCAGTCACTTTTTAACGACTGTTTCAATCTGACTACAAAATCCCTGGCATGGAATTGATTCACAAAGAATGATCGATGTTAAAGCCGGATTCGAGCAGAACATTAGCGCCGTGGGTGCGTCCTCCACATTTTGAAATGAAGCCCATGATGATGCCTGTGAGTGCATTCATGAAAATCAGATCATGCAGCGTATTATTTTTGAGTGCCCGCTGCGAAGATTCGACGGCAGCATTACTGATGTTCAAAATGCTACCGCGGGAGCCATTCATTGGCTTTGAAATTTGAACACTGAACTACAAGCTGCTAATCACCTCCCCCCAGCCATATGAGGGAAGAACAGAATGGCCGCTTATCCTTTCGTGTCATAGAGACGGCGGTATCAAACAGTGTCATCAAAGTTCCTGATGCTGTACCAGCATGTGAGCTTTGTCAAAGGAAAACCCGAGTCTGGAGTAGAGTCTGTTGGGGCAGTTGCCCAAGGTCATTCTTGGCCTTCCTCGGGGTCTTCAGCCCGTTGGTCTAAGCAAGTAGCTGTTCATCTTTTATAAAAATTTTCACAAAACGTGCTCAGTCCGTCACGGTTGTGACTTTTGAATTTGGAGATGCAATATTCTACTAATGCTGCTTAATTTAAATTTTTTTTTTAATTTTGATTTTCATTATGTGCTCGTGTTTAGTCAACTATCATGTGGGTGAAGGCGAATAACCGCTGCACGCCTCAGATGCACGGACGGATTTAATTATCACGTTAAATTTTTTGTACCTTAACCTTTATTGTCCATAGGCTGTACCATTTTCGCTCGTCGCAAACCAAGAAGGACGCGATGGTGCTGATTCTCCGTTATCGATCGGTGATGTTGTAAAGAAGTTTTCCAAGCGAAAGGTAGTATTGTTGATTTAATATGCTTATTAGTTTCACACATAAACTTGACCTTGTCTGTTTCTTCAGCAAGAAATGATAGCTCATCAGCTGTGCGAGGCGCAGTGCATGTACGCGATGCAGATTGAAAGCTGGACGAACAAAACGAAACCTTGGGAAGGCTGGCACTCGTTCGCAACGGCTAATGGGAAGCCGTCTCGTTTCCACGTATATATGGTCGATGTGGTTGAAAATTTTGATCTGCTGCCTAAATCGTTCCTCGCCCTTACGCAGACCACACCGACGACGCGTACTCCTGAAGTGACGTGACGTCATAGCATCGTTGTAGTGGTTGATATTGGATTCATTAAGCCTCAAAGTTTCTATGGCATGTTGCGGCGGTTCGTCTGTCCGTCATGTCGGAACATTGTGCAGCTGATCGAGCACAAATAGAAACAGCACTGTTTACTTTCAGTAATTTGGATGATTTGTGCTGGCACGTTTTTCATTACCCCATGCCCGTTGTTTGACGTGATAAATTGCAGGGTGTTCCCTGATTAAATATTTTGTTACATGTCATGTTTCCGATGATGACAAACTACTTCGATTCTTGACGTATGTGGATTAGTTCAAAAAAATTATTACGTCATGGCTAAATGCAAAAACCACTTTTAGTACAACTTTTAATGAGTAGGTATTGCTTTTTCAGGTTGTACGGCGTAATCGATTGCCCTCATGCTTCTGTCTGCAGAGGGGGAGCCTGTAGGCAGCCCACGGCTCTGTGGTACGGCGGTGCCTATTGTACGTGAGCAGAAAAATTACTTTAATTGACCGATATTCAGCAGTCACCTATTGCACAGGTCACAACGTTTAATTTTGCTCTTGACCTTTCATTTCTTTGCTACGGTAGTCTTTCTAAGCCAGTGATTATGCGTTGCGTCTTTTCACGTCCCGCTCCGGTTTATGATCCTGCTCGACGATAGCTCCTTCTCTCAGTGGTCAGTAAACGGAGCCGCATGCGCAGTCCATCACATTCTCTTCTCTACTTTCCACGGTGTTACCTCGGTGTCTGGTTTGCTGTCTGATAACTGCATTGGTCACGGGGTGAAATTCCAACACTGCTTTTCACGACTGTTTTTGTAACCGAGATGACGACGTTTTCCTAAACAGGGATATCCTTGACGTGGCTGAGCGTCTGATTTGAGCTGATCAGTTCTTTCTGCGCCAGGTCTGATTTCGTTGCATGTTAACTTAATGGCTGAACTTGATATAGCCTTCTATTTTTGCTATGCCTCATCATTAGCTGTTATTTGGGCCTTTAGGAATAAGGTGTTCATGGCTGATGACATATGATTTTAATGCCCATATCGCTGTGTCCAGGAAAGCAGTGGTTCTAGAATTGGCCACATCATATAAGTGCAAGGAAGAACGACATTCCAACGGTTGCAGATTTTCGTTTTTATTTTCGAAGGCAACAGAAGCTATGTTGTAGGTATAGTTTGAAGGCTCCTGTTTCCCTCCCAAATGGTGGTATTCATGTATCAGCCTCGGAAGAGAAAAGGCGAATGACCTTGATCGAGGCTCGAATCCGGTGACATTAGGTTCTGAGTCGTAGTCTCTACTGGCTGAGCTACCCGAAAGTCTTTATGGAAGTTAGCCGGAGTAACTTATCGGTGAACGTAAAACAACACTGAAGCAAAAAACGCTCAAGTATGTTTTTTAGTGTTAATAAACAACAATTTCCTTAGTGCAATAGTATAACAAAAGAAACCGATGCCAGCCTTCTTTCGTATGGTCGGATGGATCCGGGACGCTGATGGGAAATAAGTGCCCATCCTGGTTCAGGAAACATTTTCACATGAACCTTTCATCGATGGTTGCTTCACTGTTCCCGTCCCAGAAAAGACACCGTAATCCATAGGCCTGTTATGATCAGTGGCAGTACGTGAAAGATTCGTTCATTTTGCGTATCTGCTGCTTTGCCCTTCTTGCCAGCAAACGCGGTACCGAACTGAGCATTCATGCAAATTTCAATAATGCGTTTAGGTTATACCGATAATATAATTTTCAGTGTAAATTTGCGTATGCAACCTGTTTTATCTGTACCATCGGTTGTACACCTGAATGCTAAGACAGATGTTTAATTCAGCAGCCTGATGGAAGGCTTAACTTCTATCAATGTCAGAGCAAAAATTTGTGAGGCAAAATTGGCTGACTACTTTATCAACATTGTAATTTTATTCGAACGCTTGGCTGTCGATAAACCAGAGCGAGTCATGTAAGTAGACAGTGTTTCTTGGCTTTACGAAGTTTCCGGTATGAGGACATTGAATCGCCGGAGTACCTTTGTCTGTAACGAATTTTTTTAAAATTTTTAGTGCAAAATATTATTTGAAAATAGTTATATTAATCATGCATAAAACTGTGTTTGAGAAACGCTAGTTTTCTGTTTCAAAAATTTGTGACACCTTCCGTGTGGTAATAATTTTCGCGTCAGACTCGAATTCGATTATGCAGATTACAGACAGACCGATATTTATGCAGATGATCTGATGGGTTTGTTAGTAAAATTTCGAGTTGTACAAATTTCACTCAAAGTATCTAGTTTATTGCACGTTACCTAATAGTGGTCTTCGATATTAATGTATGTAAATAGTGGACAGCTAAATTGGAAGAAATAGCTTGCTAGACAACTGAATTTAATGTCCAACAACAAAATCTCGAAAAATTGAAAGACTCACTTGGAGATGAACCATGAAATGAAAACTCCTTGAATTAAAAGGAGCAGAAGTTGTGTAAGCTGAGGCTTTGGAACTAGAAGAAGACCAAAAAGTATGCCGTATGAGTTTTCAGCAGGAAAGGCACGTCTGTAGAAGGTATATCGTAATATGTGAGGGGATTAGAAGTTCAAGGAGAATTAGATTACATTTTTGCCTGCTGACGAATGATTTATGAAGAGAAGAATCTTTTAATTATCTGTTAGCAGTCTTCTGATAATTTTATAAGAAATGTAAAAGGCCAAATTAAACTTTTTTCAATTCATTTATCCTGTATTTGATGATTACACATTGAAATCTAATTTTTGGACGTACCTGTGAATGAAACTGACAGAAATGCTCTCTAATACCTGCTAATGCATTACTGTATGCTATGATGGGTGATTAATGGGCAAGAATTGGTTAAATTTGACTTACGCAAAATTTGTTTCAGGTAGCGGGAGGTAACTCTTGCGTGAGAAGGAGTCTGTCTATAACTAAAGCTTCAGCTAACAGAATAATAAGATCAAATACAAAAGTTTCGATACACCGACCGTCTGAAAAAATATAAACGTTTGCCATTAAAATAAACAAAAAAATATTTTATCAACTGCGACGGTTTTGGCATGTCTTGAACAATTTCCATTTTTTAAAGGCATAGGATGACGTCAACATTTTCTTGTTATAGCACGGATCTGTCTCTCGTTTCTTCATCCATATTGCAAGTCTGCTGCTAGGTCGATGTCCGCTGTGTTTTGGTTATTGCGGCATAAATTGTTCATGCTGTTCGTCTGGCAGCACCAACCAGTTAATGTTAATCTTATCCACGTCCACGGAGGAGTCTATTCCAGAAAAACAACAGAACCATTCCTTATGCGGCCCTGTCATTTATCCTTCACCATGCGCTGTTGTGCGTTGTTCATCTGTCATAGAAGGACGGTGTTCATGTAACGTAGCAACACCAAATTGACACAGGCACGACACACAAGCAGATATATTTGGAATCGAATGTTACCTTTCGAAGATCCGGTATCGAACAGGATTCCGTAAGCACTGGAAAGTAGGGCGATGCTGATTTTTAATTATTATATTATCATACTGTAACTGAGGTTGCTGAAACCGTGGTACGTGAATGTATGGACTGGTCAGTCTGCTGTGCGGTGCACCTCCGTGTTCATCCTGTGGATCCACTCTGTTCGATGGATTGCTCCTGACTTCTGACTTATGGGAACGAAAGAAATGGCCAACTTTTACAGCTGCACCTTATTCAGTCTGTAAAAAGGTGGAACCCACCTCCTGTACAGGCCATATGACAGTATCATATGTGTACTCTAGATCAGCCGAGTCCATAATTACTACGTCCCATAACCGAAAAAGGAAAAGCTGAAGAATAAGAAGAAGAAGTGAAACATTGGTAACAGCAGGATGTTAATAATGGAGGATGGATCTTCAGCCCTTCAAGGAGCAATGAAGTTTCGATCAAGTGGATCTATTTAACTTTCGTGATCCAGCATCTGTTGGTAAAAGGCACCGAGGCTTCTACAGTACGCTTCCGACCAAAGTGATTCCTTTTAATGATATTTATAGAGCGGAATGCAGCAAAATCTTTGCGTGATGGTGTATAAGATCTGCAAGGGTCTTATCGTCACGTCATTTAGCACCATTTGTGACAGAAGTTGTTTCCTTACCAGAGATTCTGCATAATAATGAACCTTAATGAAGGTACGAAGAAACATTGTGGTGATGCCGCCTGTCCTACGTGTACGGAAGTGACTTCCAGAGTAAAAACATCAAATAAACGAACGACGCTTGATCAATGATATCAGGGAATGAAATGAGCACTGAAACATTTTTTTCTTGGTCAAGATCTAGAAAACAAG